TACATTCTTCTCCCGCTCTGTCCGGGACCCTCTATTGTGATCCCTGTCAGAGCAGTCAGCGGTGGTAGCTGGGCACCATCTAGTTGTGCTGGACTCAGTCTGGTGGAGGCCGTGGTAGTTGTGGTCAGGAAAAGGGTATTTCTGACCTGTACTTCCTCCAAACAAACATAGGATATATTCTCCATGTTCCCAAAGAACTATAAACACACACCTACTGGAGCATTTAACACATTGTAGTGTGTTTACTCGATGTCCACAATCATCTCAACTTTAACGTGTCTACACTGGATCTCTGAATTCCCCCACCTGGACCCCTGCTCTGAAACCTGCTTCCCCTACGTTCCTTCCCAGTCTCCCCCGTGTCAAACGACACTATTATTTGTGCTAGTGCTCAGGTCAAAAACCAAGGAATCAATTTTTTTCTCTTTCGTTGACCTCCTTTAATCCAATACTTCTACCTCCGAGATCTATCATTAAACCCATTCACTTCTGTACATTCTCATTACCACTTCCCTGGTCCAAGTCACCATCACCTACACCTGAATTACTGCAGCAGTTTCCTAACTGGCCTTTCTGCTTCTACTGTTGCTCCCTACAATCTATTCTCCACACTGCAGTCAAAAGAATCACTTTAAAATAACAAGATTCCGCTCAAAACACTCCAATGGCTTACCACTGCAATTAGAATAAAATCCAAACCTTTACTGCGGCCTCTAAAGCCCCGGAGCCCTGGTGGTGGAGTAGTTAAGAGCTACAGCTGCTCACCAAAAGGTCGACATTTCGAATCCACCAGCTGCTCCTTGGAAACCCTATGGGGCAGTTCTACCCTGTCCTCCAGGGTCACTATGACTCAGAATTGACTCGACGGCAATGGGTTTTAAGGCCCTACATGACTTGGTCCCTGCCTTCGCTTCTCAGATAGGCCTAGCACTTTCTTCTTTGTTCACTCACTCCAGCTTTATCTGTTTTCTTTCTGTTCTTCTAATGTGCCAGTCTCATTCCACGTCAAGGACTCTGTCCTTGCTGTCCCTCTGCCAGGAGCACTCTCTCCTCAGCTCTTTGCATGGCTGGCTCCTTCTCATCCTTAGCTCTTTGGCTCAAATATCAGTGGGTCTTCTTACCTAAAACAGTCTCTCTCCTAGTCACTCTCTTATTAGGCTATTTGCACTTATTGCTACTTGAAATTAAATCATTTGTTTGTTCACTTGTTACTGTCTCCTCTTACTAGAATATAAGATCCAAGAGAGCTAGACTCTTGTCACCATTATATCCCTAGTGCCTAAAAAATGTCCAGCACAAAGCTGGCGGTACGCAAGAAAACGTTTTCAACATAACGAATTTTGGTTCCAATGATGCATGTGGTTTTGAAACAAGTATGAAGAGGACCAATCACAACAGAGAAAGGAGACCCGGAGAAGGAGACGGACTGCAGGGCTAACTGCCTCCACTGAACTACTACTGCCTTTGCCATAAGACCAGAAGAAACGGATGGTGCCTAGCTACCGTCACCAAGCATTTTGATCAAACACCCAACAGTTGGATCTTGATCAAAAGGAGAAAAATTGTGGCACAGAACTTTACAGTCTTATGAAAACCAGACTTATTGGATACATTGAGACTGGAGGAACCCTTGAATCTATTGCCTGGAAACAACTTGTAAATCTTGATTCCCACGAATCTTTAAACTAAGCAACAGTTTAGCCCAATTAATAAAGACTGTTTGCCTTGAGTACTGTGCTCTGTTAAAGAATTATCTATATGAGATCAAATTAACAACAATAACTCTAAAGCACAGATGAGAACTTCTAGGGGCAGACAGCCTTAAGTTAACGGTGGTAAAACAACATGGGCAGAGACAGTGAGAACAGTGACACCATGTGAAGGATGCAACCACTGTCACTGAGCTGTACATGTAGAAATTGTTGAATTGGGTATATGTTTTGTTGTGTATATTTTCACCAGAAATTTTACAATAAAAAAGAGGGCTAATCAATGAATGAGAAGTAAAGAAAAAGACACCGAAAATGTAAACTGCTTTTAGAAAGCATGGTTGTGAGAGGAAGAGAGGCAGAGCTAAAGGTGGAGGAAGACCACAGTTGTGGGAGGGTCATTACAAGAGAAGAAAAACATCTTAATTCTCTTTGCATCAAGAATCTCTTTCAGAATTGAGCAAAAGCCCCAGATCTTCTCCTCAAGAAAATGCAAATACACACAAAACTTTACCATTTCAAGGAGTTCAAGAACTCCTTATAAGGAGTCCTGGTGGCACAATGGTTAAGTGCTTGGGTGCCGACTGAAATGTCTGTTAACTAAAAGGTCACTGGTTTGAACCAACCCAGCTGCCCTGTGGCAGAAAAGCCCTGGTGATCTATCTGTCTGCTCCTGTAAAGATTACAGCCTAGGAAACCCTATGGGGCAGTTCTACTCTGTCATATAGGGTCGCTATGAGTTGGAATCAACTCGACGGCACACCACCACCACCGCAACTCCCTAAAGACCTTGGACTCCAGGTTAAGAAAACCTACAGTGCAGAAACAAAGAAGATTTTTTGTTTGTTTATTGTTGTAGTTTAAGTGAAAGTTTACATATCAAGTTAGTCTCTTATACAAAAATTTATACATCACATTATTATGTGACCCTGATTACTCTCCGTCTACTGTGACAGCACACTCCTCCTTTCCACCCGTGATTTCCCGTGTCCATTCAACCGGCTCCTAACCCTCTCTGCCTTCCCATCTCACCTCTGGACAGAAGCTGCCCGTTTAGCCTCATATATCTACTTGAGCTAAAGAAACAAAGAAGATTTTTAAGACATAGGTTAATGTTAATAATGGAGAAAGGCCCCTGAGGTAATATAAGGAAAGGATTGCATTGTCCTCTGAGACAAGAAAGAGAAAAGCAAGGATAGGCAAGAAGGGTAGAAATTTGAGGGAGTTTCTGCTTGGTAGTCTCAATTTTTCAGACAAACAGGATGTAAGATCATGTGCTAAAAAGTATCATCAATATTAACCAAAATATCTGGCACATACTATGTGCTCGACAAATATCTATTGACTATTTTGACAGAATAATAAACAATACTGGTGTACTTTTATATGGGATTCTGAAATCTGGTTCCACAAAACGTCAACAAGCATTGAGTTTTTGCTTTCTTTTTTAAAACTGTCTTCATAAGGAAAGTTCATAGTTTTGTTCATAATCACATGACTGTAAAAACCTTACTATCCACCAACAGTAAAGTCCATAAATTGCGGTTTACTCTCACAATGGAACACTTATCAACAAACTACAAGCAACAAGGATAAATTTTAAAACATACTGTTGAGTAAAGAAACACAACGAAAAGGAGATTTAGTACAATTCTATTTACATGAAGTTCAAAAACAAGCCAAACTATAATGTGCATTTTCACAAAGGTGGCAAAACTATACGGAACAGTCAAACCATAAGGAAAATCATAGAAGTCAGAATAGTGGCTTCCTCTGGGGAGGAGGGTGTGTGATGGGAAAAGGAGGTAGATAATAACATCTGCTCTAATTGCCTCTGTATATGCAGAGCTTTAAAACCAAATCATCCTAAAACATACTTGTCTTAGTGTCTGAACTGAAGAAGACCACAGAAAGCAAGCCCCGGGAATCTCTTTCCCTGATTATATCCTGGGCTATCAGCAGTGCTTTTTTTTTCAGAACATAAACAAAAAAAGATGTATTTTAGAAGCTGTCATTAAATAATACTAAAGTTTAGGGCTTAAAATAGGTATTTCATTAATGTGCCTTCCTAGTTACTTCCCCCTAACTAAGAGAGAAGGGAACAGGAATCAGTTTTATACTGGAGGCAGATCTGAAGGACACGACGCCTTACTTTTATAACTAACCTATTTTATTCTAGTTACAAACTCTTTAGTATTCTACTTCCCTCCTCAGGGGAAACAAAGCGTACTTGAAATGCTGAAAACCAGCAGAGGAAATTAAAAACAATACGCTGGGATACTAAGGGCTGGTGTGGAAGAAGGCAAACACTGGAGACACGCTCTCATCTAACAAACTTTTCCTGAAGCCTTAAGTCTTGACTTTATTTAAAGAAAAAAAGAACTGTATTCGTACGCGTTTTTAGGCGTCAGATCCACGATCACCGCACAAGTATCCAATTCGGTCTCAAATGTCTTTTTAACCAAAAGCCTGTTTACACTGCCTCTCCTGTGTGTTATTTCCACTGACATTATACGAGATTTTCATGCAAATGCCTACATAATCTCTGCACTTCACCTCCCAAAGTCTACAAAGCGAGAGGCCGGGAGTCAGGAGGAGCCAGGCTGGACTTCCAAATTCTCAGCTCCACTCCAGAGCGTTGCTAAACAGTCCCCCCAACAACCAGGCGGCGAGCTGCGGCAGGAAGCGAAGCGGTCACCATAGGAACTGGGATCAACCCTACGCTCCCAAGACACAAGTGGAGCAAAGTTTGCTCCTGGGGGGCTTTGGATGCTCCATCTTCCCCCGACCCCAACTCTGCCCGCTGCTGCCCCCCACGGCGGCTCTAGCAGAGAACACCCACCTGGGGGGTCATCCTCAGCCCCCACCTCCGCCACACCCGCCCTCTCTCACCCGCCCCCTTGCAGCCGCCCCCTCGCGGGCCTTCCGGCCCAGGAGCTGCTTTCCCCCAACCCGGCGCACCCCCGCTGCTTCCACCTGGAGCTCCGGGTCCCTCCCCGGGGTTCCTGGCCCGCCGTCTTCTCCGGAGCTCATCCCCGCGACTGCCGGTCCTCGGCCTCCGCCGGGCGTCCACGGCCCTCCCCGCCTCCATACTCCGCCCCTGTCCCCTCCCCTCCCAGCCCCAAATCGACCTGGCCCCGCCCCGGGGCCGGCGGCAGGAGGCGGGGGCGGTTAGCGCCGCCTCGGCCCCGCCCTCACGCTCTGTACCTGAGGGGGGCTCGTCCTCCACCTCCCGGGTGCCTTCACTCCGCTTCCGTCCCGCGCGCCCCCGCTCCCCGTGCGCACGCGTACCTGGCTCAACACGCCCTCTCGCGGGTACTACAAGCCTTGCGCGCGCACCCACGCACGAAGCGACGCGTACCGCCCCCTGCCTGCCTTTCCGGGCGCCGAGGAGAGGCCGCTTCCTGGCCCATCCGCGCCGCGCAGGCGCACGCCCACGCAGCGCCTAGTCGCCCAGTCCGCGCGTCCCGTCTCCTAGTAACCGGCTGCAAGCCCCTTTTCCACGATTTGTATCTTGTTCTCTGCCAGCTGCTGCAGCACCTGGATAGAACGCGCATGCGCGGGGCCGTACCCCACCCATCTGGAACACCTGCTGCTTCGTGGCCACAGCTTTGGGCCACTTTTACGGGAGAGCAGGCACGGTTCTGGGTCCCCGTTCAGTGGACCGGCCAGTTCTCAGAGCTGCTCTTGGGCTCTGGGAGGTTGGTGCGTTCTCCTGCCGCAGTCAGGCGCCTGTTTGGGGAAGCCTCCGAGCTCGGGGCCTCCTGCTTGCAGCCTCTCGGGAGGGTAGGCCTGTCCCGGTGAGCGCGGACACCCTGCAGTCTAGGGAGCCTGCGGACCCACGGCCCCGGACAACCCTACAGGATCAAATTAGGGTTGAATCGAGAAGGAGCAGAACTAGCAATGAAAGATTCCTGCCCGGTATTCCTTCTCCACATGCCGGTGCGCTAACTCCCCTTTTCTAACGCCCCTCGTGACAATTAACAGAAAGGATAGGGTATACAGCCCCACTTGGTATTTATAGTGTATGGATTGTTGTCCTGTTTAATACCATTTAAACCTGTCTTCTCTCAACCAGGAGCTTTCAGTCTCATTTAAGCCGGTGTAATATTATTTTTGGCCATCCAACTATGTTAAAATTAACTATATCGCCTTAAAGTGGAGAAGAGAGCTTTTTAGTGAGAAAGAATGGGCATTGCATTCTTTTGCCAGTTTTTGGATCCCAGCTTGAAACGAACTCTTGTCTTCTTAACGTTTCTTAATGTTGAACATGTCCCACCTTTAAGTAACCCAAGACCTTCTGAACCGTAACGGTGACTTTATCTCGGTCTTTTCCTGCAGATGAAATAGATACTAGCTTCGTACAGGAGTCCTCTGATGATCCTGAGATAGTATAAGCCTGTGCATTCCAAAAGTAAGCGCAGATTAGAAGAGACTGACAATTCCTGGTTTTGCCGGGTGAGTAACCTTTTTCCACAACATTATTGGCAGGCATAAACAATTTTTCTGTTAGAACTAGTTTCTTCATAAGGTACATTTAAACATAAAGTGCTGTATGTATTGCCAATCTCCGTTCTGATTTTTTCATCATTATTTGTGCCATTACATTTTCTCATATTTTGTAACATTTATTTTCAGAGACCATATAGTTTGTAATAAATGCTAGCTACTAGAAAATTAAATCGAGTGCCCTTGTTATTTTAGATTCAGAGGTCAAAGGTCCCAAGGAATGCACTGCCTCTGAAATGTAATTACATCTAATTAATAAAATGTGCCATCAAAGAACAAGCTCTCAAAGACCCTCCTGAAAAGTTATTTTAGGGGGAATACTGTATATTCTGTTGTTTCCTCTTCAGATACTAGGATTATTTTGAATAAAAGGTTCTCAATATATAGCATTGAAATAGGAAAGAATGTACTAACTTTAAAACTATCATTTGGAGTTGAAGACTTGGAGGGGGTGGTATTAATCTAGGAAGTAGGAAAGTACTTCCCTTGGAGGAAGAATAACAAAAGGTTAAGCGTTTATGTACGCCACTAAATGTTACTGAAGATTCTTTGGAAAGAATACAGGGAAAAGGTCATTCCCCCCCCCCCCTTTTTTCCCTTATCAAGGACTAATCTCCTCCTCTAACCCAAAACAAGTGAAAAATTTCTTTCCCTTTATGGAAACCCAAGGAGTGGTGAATGCCCCACCAGGTACACCTTGTATAGCAGTGGCAAACGCCCCACCGGCTGCGCCTTGGGTAGCCGCGGCGAACGCCCCACCGGCTGCGCCTTGTATAGCAGCTCTGCTCTCTCCCTTCTGACAGACGCTCCTGTGTAGTTCTGAGGTTGGAGTTTTCTATTCCCTCACTTTTTCCATCATTTCACAAGCTTCACTACAAAAACCTCGTTTTGCCTTTTTTTTTTTTTTTTTTCCTCTCTCTTTTGTTCCTATCTCCCTCTTGTCCCTCTTACCCCTGCAAAAAAAAATCTGGGACTCCAATTACATGTTAAGCTACTTGATTGTTGTTCCACAGCTCACTGAAGCCCTGTTTCTTTCTTTCTATTGGATGCTAACTGGACGCCACTGCTGTTTCTTCAGGCTTATCATTCTTTCCCTTGGCGGCATTGATCCATCCACTGTAGTTTTCATCTCTGGAAGCCCCATTTTTTTTTTTATATCTTCTATTTCTCAATCGAATCACGTTCATGCTTTGCTCTCTATCTTCTTGGAAGTATGGAATACATTTAAAATAGCTGTTTTAAGGTTTTTGTGTGCTGTTCTACCATCTGTGTCATTTCTGGATTTATTTCTGTTAACTGGCTTTTTTTTCTCCTGGTTAGGGGTGGTATTTTCCTGCCAGCTAGTTTTTGATTGGCTATTGCAATGTTTACATTATTGGGTGTTGGAGTTTTTTTAGGTGTTTTTTGTTAGTTTGTTTTTTCTCAAGTACCTTTGGGCATATTCTGAGATGTTTACTTGGAAACAGTTTGATACATCAGAGCTACCTGGTCAAAATAGTAGCCACTAGTTACAAGTGGAGGTCAGATGTCCAAAATGAGGGAGGCTACAATAGGAGCTCTGGTGGCACAGTGGTTCAGAGCTCGGCTGCTAACCAAAAGGTCGGCAGTTTGAATCCATCAGCTACTCCTTGGAAACCCTATGGGACAGTTCTACTCTGTCCTATAGGGCTGCTGTGAGTTGGAATCAACTTGATGGCAGCGGGTCTGGTTTTTAGGTTTGGTTTGGCTAAAATAAGTTTTGACAGGGCTGCGTTCCTTCTGGGGACTGTCAGGGCAGATCTGTTTTCTTGCCTTTTCCAGCTTCTACAGGTTGCCTGCATTCCTTGGCTTGTGGTCCCCTTCTGTCTTCAACGCCAGCAATGGCCAGGCAAGTCTTTCTCACACTGCACCACTCTAACACTTGTACTCCCTCTTTCACTTATAAAGATCTTTGTGATTCCAACGGAACCACTCAGTGCAGGATAATCTCCTTAATTTTACATGCAACCTTAAATCCCCCGTGCCAAGTACAAAATGGTCAGAGTAGTAATAGAGTCAGAACCTGTCTAACTTCATGGGGTCGGGGCGAGGATAATGAGAATCACTGTCAGCACAAAATTGATTCCCAGGAGGTGGAAGTCAAACATACCTCCACTCTCCAACATTTTTACCAATTCTGACACCAGCTGTCCTTCCCACGGCACTCTACTTCTGCGTTCGATAATCCATTGCAATGGACACGTAGAACTCACAGACCATACAAGGCATGGCCCTTCCACCAGGGCCACAAACTGACCAATACCCTCTGGGTAGGCTTCAGACACTTCATTTGCGTAGTAGGCTACAAACACTTAATCTGCATAGTCTATTGACCAATCCCTGCAAGGTGCATACCAGTCACAGGGCAAACTGCAGCCCAGGACCAGATAAAAAGTATCAAACCACAAGTTGTTTACAGTTTACCCAGGAAATGTTAATCAACCTGGACCAAAGTAACTAACCTTCTAGAGTAGAAAACAAGGGCAAAGGTATCTTGTTAAGGCTTAGGGGAAAAAAATATCTCAAGCTGTTTTTCCAAAGAACCAAAGCAAAAGGCCACATAAAGGAACTCATTTCACCACACCAAGTAACATAACGTATTCACAAATTCTGAAGATTAAGATGTGGACATCTGCTTTGGGGGCTGTCTTAGTTATCTTGTACTGCTACAACAGAAATATTGCAGGTGGATGGCTTTAACAAAGAGAAATGGTTCTCTCACAGTCTAGGAGGCTAGAAGTCTAAATATAGGGTGCCAGCTCCAGGGGAAGTCTTTCTCTCTCTGTTGGCTCTGGGGGAAGGCCCTTGTTATCAATCTTCCCCTGGTCTAGGAGGTTCTCAGCAAAGGGACCATGGGTCCAAAGGACACGCTTGCTCCTGGTTCTTTCTTGGTGGTAGGAGGTCCCTCTCCTCTCTGCTCCATTCTCTCTTTTATATCTCAAAAGAGATTGACTCAGCATACAACCTAATCCTATAGATTGAGTCTTGCCTCATTAACATAACTGCCTCTAATCCTGCCTCATCAACATCATAGAGGTTAGGATTTACAAAACATAGGAAAATCACATCAGATCACAAAATGGTAGACAACCACACAGTACTGGGAATCATGGCCTAGCCAAGTTGATACACATTTTAGGGGGACACAATTCAGTCCATAACAGGGGACATTATTCTGTCTACCACAGCTGGGGACAGGTATGTAGAAAATTTGGCTTTTATTCTGAGATTGGAAGCAACTAGGGCACGTTGAGCAGAGGAGTGATGTGATCTGGCTTATGTTTTAAAAGGCTCATTCCTGATACTGCTTGGAGAATACATTGGGGAGGGATGGGCAAGGGTAGAAGTAGAGACAGATTCATTGAGGGATTGTATGTGGAATCAGAGATAAAGAGAAGAGTTGATAATGATCCACCAATAGCGCATAAGGTTTCCTGTCATCCTGCGTTCTCTTGTGCTCAGTGCTATCCACCTTCTAAAGTGTATCATTCTGATGGTAAAAAACGTGCATGTCGCTGGCTACTAGTAAGTTTGAATATCTCTTTGTGTACTCATCTATTTGGGATTACCAGTCTGTGAATTGTGTCTTTCTATTCTTTGCCCATTTTTCTATTGGGTTTCCTTCTTCCTTGTAGATTTGTAGGACTTCCTTTCATATTCTAGTGATTAAATCCCGTCCGTTTTGCACATAGCAAGTATCTTCTTCCAGTCCCTTTTCCATCTTTTTAACTTTCTTTACTGAGTAGATATTCTTAATGTTGAGTAATCAAGTCCATCTGTTTTCCCCTTATTATTTAAGCTTTTTAGGTCTTGTTCAAGACATTCGTCTCCCCCAGAAGGTGATAAATATATCGAGCTATATTTTTTCTATTGGTTTTATAGTCCTGCATTCACAGTTAGGTTTTCAATGCATCTGGGGTGTACTTTTGTATATAAGATAGGGATCCTGCTTTATTTTTCATCCATATAGTGAGCTAGTGTTCATTATATTATACTAAATGTAGTCTGTTGTATCCTCTCTGCCTTATAAAGCTAAACCCTTTCCCTTGAGTCGATTCTGACTCATAGTAACCCTACAGGACAGAGTAGAACTTCCCCGTAGAGTTTCCAAGGCTGTAATCTTTATGAGAGCAGACAGCCACCCCTTTCTCCCACGGAGCAGCTGGTGAGTTTGAACTGCCAACCCTCAGTTAGCAGCCAAGTGCTTTAACCACTGCTCCACGAGGACTCATTCCTTTGCCCTATAGTGCTTTCTTTATCCTATATGAAGCTG